TCTTGGTATTGTGACTCTGTACTCCTTCCATCTTCTTTTGATGCATCCTGGGTCATTCAACATTCTGCACACAGAATCCTGAAGTGCTGCGACTCGAGGTTTGAATTTGTTCTTCACTTCCTTCACCTTAAGAAGTGCCAAGAGAGTTTGGCCTTTTTTATTTTTCCAACGCCAGCTCTTTTCATATTTCATTATAATACTTTGATTTGTCTTCCATAATGCTCTTTGAAATCTTCTATTCAGCCCATTAACTTCTTGATTTCTTTCCTTTGCTTTGGCTTGTCAGTGCTCTAGTGTAACATTCAGAGTCTCTTCTGGAGATGACACAACCCTGCTCGCTGAAACTGAGGAAGCTCTGAGGCTCAACATCAAGAAAAAAAAATATTCTCACCACTGGGCCAATTGGCACCACCATGACAGACAGTGAAGAGATGAGATTGTTAACAGCTTCAGCTTGCTTGACTCCACCACAATCTACATTCTTGGCACCATCAGTCAGAAAATCAAAAGATGAATTGCATTGGGAAAATCTGCTGTCCGGGACCTCTCCAGAGTGCTGAAAAGTAACAATGTCAGTCTATAGATTAAGGTGTGCCTGATCCAGGCCATAGTCTTCGCTATTACTTGTTGTGCATCAGAGAGCTGGACAATGACTAAGGATGGCAGAAGAAGAATCAATGCCTTTGAGTTGTGGTACTGGAGGAGAGTCTTGAACATACCAAGGACCGCTAAGAGAACAAACTAAAATGGTCTTCCCTGGAGAGGGTGAAACCAGGCTGCTCCTTGAAGGCAAGGATTTTGAAGCTCTGTCTGACATATTTTTGCATGATGCAAGAAGGAACCAGTCTTTGGAGAGGGACCTCATGTTTGAAAGGGTGGAGGGAAGGACAGTGCAAGAGAGGAAGACCCTGAATGAGATGGATTGACTCAGAGACTGGGGTAATGGGCATTGGTGTGCCAGAGACAATTGGGACTAGATAGAGCAGGGGTCAGAGCTGTTGCACAGAGGGTTGCTATGAGTCACAACGGACTCAACAGCACATAACAACAACTTAGCCTGTGATTGTTGTTGTTGTTGTTGTTATGTGCCATCGAGTCCTTTGCGACTCATAGCAACCCTATGTACAAGAGCCCTAAACGCCGTTCTATCCTGTGCCAACCTCGCTGTCTCAAACACACTCATTCCCACCACTCCACCACAGAATCGATCCATCTCATCGAGGGTCTTCCTCTCCTGTGCTGTCCCTCCACTCTCCCAAACATGCTGTCCCTCTCCAAGGACCAGTCCCTCCTTGCAACATGCCCAAAGTATGTCACATGAAGCTTCAGAATCCTTGACTCTAGGGAATATTCTGGCTTCACCCTCTCCAGGACAAAACCGTTTGTTCTCCTAGTAGTCCATGGTATATTCAACACTCTTCTCCAGCACCACAGCTCAAAGGCATCAATTCTCTTTCTATCATGCCTAGTCACTGTTCAACTCTCTGATGCATAGCACGTAACTGCAAAGACTATAGCCCGGATCAGGTGCACCTTAATCTCCAGCCTGACGTCGTTGCTCTTCAGTATTCTTGAGAGGTCCCTCACAGCTGACTTTGCCAATGCAATTTGTCTCCTGATTTCCTGGCTGCTGTTACCAAGAGTGCTGACTGTGAAACCAAATAAACTAAAACTGTCTGATGCTGCCAGTTGGCCCAGTGGTGAGAATCTTTGTTTTCTTGATATTGAGCTTCAATCCATATTGAAGACTGCAGTCCTTGACCCTCTGCAGCAAGCGCTTCAGGTCCTCCTCAGTTTCAGTGAGCAGGGTTGTATCATCTGCATAATGCAGGTTGTTGAAGATTCTTCCACAAATCCTGATGCCACATTCCTCTTCATACAGCCCAGCGTCTCAGATGATCTGTTCTGCATACAGACTGAAAAGGTATGGAGACAAAATACATCCCTGACGGACCCCTTTCTTCATTTTGAACCATCCAGTGTCTCCCTGCTCTGTTCTGATGACTGCCTCTTGGTCCAAGTATAGGTTTTGCATTAGCACAATCAAGTGTTCTGGGATTCCCATTCTTCTCAGAGTCAGCCATAGTTTTTTTTGATCCACATAGTCAAAAGCCTTTGCATAGTCAATGAAGCACAGATAGACATTCTTCTGGTATTCTTTGCTTCCTGCTAAGATCCATCTATCATTAGCTATTATATCCCTAGTACCGCGCGCGACCTCTTCTAAATCCAGCCTGCACATCTGGCAGTTCTCTGCTGACATATTGTTCCAAACGTTTTTGGATAATTTTCAGCACATTTTAGGAAAGTTCTACCAAAGAGAGAGGAAATAAAATCTATGTTTGTCAAAAGCCCAGAGAAAAATCTTCTAATCTCTAGACTCAAGAGCAACAGTCTGATTTCAACATTCTGGAGAAAAGGGTGGCATGGTCTCACAACAACTGTGCATATTCACTTACTAATCTTCTGTTGTGTTGTTGTTGTTAGGTGCCATCAGCTGAGTACAACCCATAGTGACGCTATGAATAACAAATCTGAACCCTGTTCAATCCTGTGTCATCCTCATACTTCCTCACACACTAGAGCCCATTTCACCTGTCACCGTGTCAATCCACCTGGTCGAGAGTCTTCCTCTTCTTCATTGACCTCCTATCTTTCCAGGAATGATGTCCCTCTCCAAGGAATAGCCCCTCCTGGCAGCATGCTTGAAGTACGTGAGGGGAAGCCTCATCAACCTTGCCTCCAAAGAGCACTCCAGCTGCACCCTCTCCAAGACATATCTGTTCATTCTTTTGGCTGTCATGGGATGTCCTGTTGGAGCCTGGCTAACTTGTAAAGTAAGATTAGCCCTGTACCAAAAGACCAGCAAGACTAACTCCATTTTGGCTATAGTATCTGCTTGACAGAAAACAACTCAAGGAAGTAGGATGTTAAAAAGTTGGCCATACTGCAGCCATCTTAAGCAAGTAGCCATTTTATGCCAGGTTAAAATGTGCAGATGTTTGAAGGGGAGCAAAAACAAGTTTAACCATTCCTTGAACCCCAAGGCCAAGCAAGGATGTACAGAATGGTATGTCCCTAATGACTCTATTCGGATGGCCTTGCTTGCTGCTGATAATAAAGTAAGTAATCTTGCAGGTGGTGGGGATATCAAAACAAGTGTGTTGTTGGCCTTGAGGCTGAGCTGTTTTTCTGTTCACTGCAAAAGAATATAACACTGAATTTCAAGAATAAACACTGCTACTGACCATCAGTCTTAGCCTCTCTGTGTCCTTCATCCTCGGCTCTCCCCTTCCCTTGGCTAGTCCGCGGCAATGTCCAGTGCTCTTCTCCAACACCACAGTTCAAAGACAGCAATCTTTTTCTGTCATCCTTATTCATTTTCCAGCTCTCACATGTAAAGCAAGTAACTGGAAAGACCCTGGCCTGAATCACCCTTGGCTATTAATCTATTGTGTCATCTTGCATAGATGTGCACAAGAGATAGGTCAATGATCCACAGAAGATCTTTGTATTTCATACAATATGGTCAATAAGCATAAAGTTAGGCAAGGATTCAATCCCAAACCATGTTGCTAATGAAACACTCGTCTTCGTAAAGATGAGAAATGAAGTGCTGGTGTCTGGACGACTTTGCATTTCCTTCCATCAGATTTCAGATTTACTTCCTTTAACTTTCTCTGGAGACAAAGTACAGCTGTTGAGCAACCTTTATAGGAGTTCTTTCTTCTACTAGTTTCCCCAAGAGCCATGACTAAGTCTGAGAAACATTGGGAAGAGGACAGTAGATTTGTGTATGAGTCACTTACCATCTGCATGTGGTTAACTGCACTTATAGCACTTTTGCAAATTAAAAGTGATTAAACAAAGAAGGAAAAGGAAGCATTCCTTTCTTGATTCATGAGGGTTTGACATTGGAGATTTTTAAATTGTCTATTATCTGCATGTGGCAGAGTGCAGAATAATCTCAGTGTCTTGTCTTTTTAAAATGCCATAGTTCAAATGGACGCTCTCTCTGGAGTTTACCCACATTTCTAAACTGAAGAATGAACAGTCCTCACTAACATGCCTGAGAGTTGCCAGAGGTGCTGAAAGCTCCCTTCCTCCTCAAAATCCATGCCCTTCTCTTCTCTATTCAGAAAAAAAAACAAAAAAAAGAGAGAATAGAAGTGACGAGAGAAGGATACGAAACAGAGAATGGGACTCAAGCGATAAATGGTTAACAAAAGAATAGAAATGTCAAGTGTCTATCCACTCTCAAGTCTACTGACAGATCCTGTAATAGTATCATGAGGTTCTGGTGGTCAAGTGGGTAAGGAGTTGCTCTGCCAACCCAAAGGCACAGTTTGACTCCACCAGCTGCTCCACGGGTGAAATTTGGGCAATCTCCTCCTATGTGATTTACAGCCTCTGAAAACCCACTAGGAGGTCAGCTAGGGGTCAGTTCCAATTCTACGGCCACGAGTAACTGAATGAGAAGGGACACTCACACTCAAAAGCCTCTGGCACTGAGGTCCTCTCATTCCACCGCCACTCCCTCGTTCATCTTCCCCTCTCCCCAAGCACAGGATTTCGTGAGCTGTCCGCCAGAAAGGTTTAGAGTCAGCAGGCAGGGTCACCAGGAAGTTAGGTGATGCTGCAGTGAACAGGAGGCATTCCAGGTACGAGTGGTCACAGTCTAGACTCTGGATATTTAGGGAGCTGTCAACCCAAGGGGGCCAAACAGGACCTCACAGCATCAGGAACAGCGTTTCCATTTCCCCATGACATTCTACATTCTCTTGAAATACTGGGGCCTCAGAATGTTATGAGAAGTTGAATATTGCAGGAAAGAAAACCAGCTTCAAATCAATGTGTTCCCAGGCTAGAAAACCTGATTTCACAAACAAGGGATTGTTTTAAGATTGCACAGGACTTTCTTAAGGGTATATTTTCTTTAAAATTAACTTATAAGGGTATGTATTCAGATGAAGAATAAAGAGTACAGAGTATAGAATTACCATTTGGATGTAGGATTCTTCCTCTTCCTTGGAAATAGGATTGGCAAAAAATCTTGCAGAATTAATACCACTTCTTTCTGGAGAGAGAAAGCTACTCCGATTGCTAAGAACAAAAATACAGATGAGGTCAAAGCAATGTCCTACAGCTGTTCTGAAAGCCAGCCAGAAACTGACATGGGCCCCATGGGGCTTCAGCCCTCCCCTTCCAGACACAACTTCCTTCCTTCTGGCCAAAGCGATTCCTGAGCAGCAGAGACTACCAAGCAGCTTCTGGCCGACTGTGGGGCCAATAACTGCCAGTTCTCAAATGCTGCATTTTCCAGGTCCTACATTCGACACAGCTCATGAGATTTCACACCAAATCGCTTCACAAAAAAAGAAAAAAAATCGCCTCACAAAAGACATTCCTTTGGGCACTCTTGTTTCCATTCAAAGTAAGAGGGAAAAGTAGGGGAACACTGTGTGACAGTTCCTCTTATAAGACAAGGACACTGATTGCAAACAGACTCCTGTTGTGCTCCACAGTCAGAAGCTAAGGCTGGAAAGACAGTACACCACAGATTTTCACTTTAGAAAGTGACACTTAGATGGAACCAGAACACTCCCACATTAGGCTCTGGATTCTGAAAACAGAACTTCTAAAAAGTGAAATGAGAGAATGTTGAAGTATTTTAGGTACTCAGCTGCCCAGTTTGTGAACTAATCCTTCTTGACGGAAAATTCCCTTCCTTCACTTGGTGAGCTTCTGGAAGCCATTGTGTTGCTACTGAGCCTACCTCTGGACTGAACTTGGGCAGGGACAACGTGATTCTCTCCCAGGAAGTCGTAACTGGGATGGGAAAGGGCATATCACTATGGTAGTAGAACTGTAACATTTGGCTATCTGTGGCCATGAGGATTACCAGGACAGAGAAAACATTCTGTAAAGAAAGATAAATGAGCAAAGGTAAAAGGAGGAGCAGACATGAGAGGATAAATTGTTCCATTTTGGACCTGTTGAGTGTAATGTAAACATCAGGAGTCTGGATGTGTACCTGTCGTCTAAGACTGCTTGAGCTAGCCTAAGCTAAGGGAGGGGCAGGCGTTATTATCAAGAGCCAGGGGTGTTTGTTTCTTGAGTTGAGCCAGAGTTTCTTAGGAACTATAGTCCGGAATTCGAGTGTTGCTGGGCATGATCTTTGTGGTTTATAATCAGCCCTTACCCGCCTCCCTACTCAATGAATTGTAAGGAAGGCAGGGTGTGGTCAGCACTGAATGTGGAATGAGGTTCCTGTGAGCTCTCAAAGACTTACCATGGCACAGTGAGTGTCCGGGTTAGGGACGAGTGCTCCCGGATGCTGGAGAGGTTTCGGAGGTCCAGTGGAGGTGGTCGTGCTACAAAATAACACAATGTCCAGAATGAGACATTTTTAGGACTGCAGGGCCAGAATTTAAGAATGGTAAAACTATGATATTCTCCTTTCTCAGCATACCAACTCTAATGAATAGCACAAATGGCAGTGTGAATGTCACCGTCTTAAACTTTCCTGCCTCTCTGGGAGTTGCGAGAACAATCACTGAGTAAATGAAAATCTTACCAGCTGCAGGAACTAATGAGGAGATGCACCTATTCAACACATTTATGGACAATTCACTAGATGCCAGGCACTTGGTGTTGAAGACAACAGACGTAAGTCCCCACCTTTCAGACTCCTAATGTTGACTTTACACCCAACAGGTCCAAAATGGAAAAAAAAATTTACCCTTCTTATCAGAGCTGGGAGCTCTGGTGTCTTAGTGGTCAGGACTCGCACTGCCAACCCAAAGGCAGGCAGGCAGCTCGAATCTAGCATTTGCTCCTTTGCAATTTACAACCTCTAAAAAAAATCATCACTGGAAAATTAGCTATGAGTTGGTTGGCTCCAACTAGGCAGTACATAATAACAACATCTATCAGCTGTCAAGAACTTCTCCAGAGTGCTAAAGAACCAGGACTTTAAAGACCAAGGTGCTCCTGATCTAGGCCATGGTATTTTAACTGCTTCTTATGCATAAGAAACATAAACGCAGGCTATACACATGGATCTCACCTGATGACATGCATAGGAATCAAAGAGATTACATTTGTGGAAAGACTCAGTGGAGAAGCTCAATATCAGCAGTGAAAACCAGGCCGGGTGCTGATTGTGGGACAG